TGGCTTTACAGTATCGCGGGAACAGGATAGCTTTCGACACACATAAGAGAGACCAAAATGTGTCAGTTACAAATACCTTTAATCTGTATAATTTTATTTTCTATATATTTTTTATATTACTCTTTATTTCCTACATTTCCGGCATGCTCGTATACATTAGGATCGCACTGACAATAAAGACACAACACAAAGAGACATAAAACCCAACAAAAATACAGTGAGGAAACTTTGTGTTCCGAAAGGTTTGAAATTTTGATCAAACATGCAGCCCTCTACATAATAAGCTATTGTAGTGACTGTCAAACAGCTTATATCATTGGCCAGACAGTATACCCTGCCACGGTGTATGCCCTTTGCACAAAACAACTGTCAATATTTATACAACGAACAGCGTTAAGACCTAAAATCGATGCCTGTTGCATTGCCCAACAACTCCGTATCTTGTAATCTCTAGTGCAAATGAATAAATAATGGGATATGCCTAAGATCAGAAAATGCTCTTTTGATAAACAGGTTTAAATTGTTCGCCCAGAATCTGGTTCTCAACGGTATCATTGCAGTTGTGTGGTCATAGAAATTGTTCATTTTCTGTTTAAAACCCTCCCCAAGTTCCGTATGATGTAATTGTTTGCATGAATTACGACTAAATGTAAAATCTCTTAATGGACTTTGGACCGCGACGTCCGGAGATTAATCCTCCAGCGATTGAAAATGTAAAAGATACACACACTTCAAATTGTTGCCATTAAATATCAAATTATCGAGCCTGTAGAAATCCATATGGCAAAAATCCCGCACCTTTCATAATTTTGATTATTGATTAACTATAGAGGTGTTTTTTTCTTTGCACACACATATGACAACTTTTTTTCACAATTAGTCAGCTTAACACCCTGCATGTAACTGATACGGTCTTACTCATAGGATGTCTGTCTCTTTTGAACTTTGTTTATAATGGCTGATAGTATAACATACTTTCTTTTGTAGCGTTTGGTCTAAATATTTAAATTAAAATACGATAGTATAGTCCCGTGGTGCATATGATCTTTTCTCACGCTTGCACATTCATTGAGTGTTCTTTAGAGACTGATCGAAGTGATTCCTATTGACAGGTTGTCGGTTCGTCATCATCGGTGAAGTAAAAACCTATTAATTTTGCTGCTATTAAGGGCTTTGTTTGAATTCAGCTGACTCATTCGGTTATAGCTTGTAGCGATGCGTGGTGTGTCCAGATGTGTGACTCGGCCAGTGGGAGTGTAAGCAACGGACCAACAGTGCGGCATTAGCGTGAACAGATGAATCAAACAAACATATTAAAAATGTATGGACGAGGTTGCAATGTACCGTTCCCGGTGTGAATCTAATTAAACAACGCCGATACAAGTGATTGTGAATATAAATCCGGACGTAGTGGTGTATATTTAGTCACGACCGTTCATCGCGCTACCGGATGAAGAGGTTTTTTGTTGAGTCTCAAACGAGTACGGATTATATTTGAAGTGTAAGAACGGGTACTTAAAAGGAAAATGTGTGATGTTTTCGATGGAATATGTCAAATGAAGGTTAGTATATATAACCTTAACGTTATAACATCTTTGGCCCTTACACATTTTAGTAATCTATAGGGAGCTAGCTAATGGATTCGTGAACTATTAAGGATATCAATATTGACATAAAGGCGAAGATTTGAATAAACCATTTCCCCTGTCTTTAAAATATATATCAGAATACACCTGAACCAAAGACTGCTTAAACTACACTTTTAATGCTTGACTTGTGTATTATTTGTAGGAATTTTATTTATATAGGTATACTGACTGGATGATGAAATAAAAAATATCAGATAAAAGGTTAATGCAAAACACATATATTTGATAAAGTAAAACGGATGTATATATTTCATCAGGTGGATTATTTTCCTGTATGCTGTAGGTAAAAAATACATTTTATTGATGGATTAATAATATCTTGTACATATGTAATCGTCCGTATGTACTGTACCCTATGCATGAAATATAACAGGCATCTTAGCTGCGTACTGAGACGGTCGGTCTACACACCGTCCGTCCCAACGGAGTATCGCTTCGCAGACAAGCGCTCCATCACCAAGGGAAAATCATAGATATTCTCGCACCATTTCCTTCAGATGAAAATGCAATTTATTATTCTCTGCCAATTAACAGAAAAGCTTGTAGCAAGAGTTTGGATTTTCTATCGGTTTATACATCTTCGTAATACATGAGCGCAGGCCGTAAATTTCAATTTACTTTCCGTAGCAAGAAATGTTCTACCAAAAGAACGGTACACGGTTGTGAAGCATTGAATGCTGCAATGTTGGAACAATAACGAACGGGCATTAGTTACGTGCTTTTAACACCAGGCTATAAATATGTTACCTTCATACGTTTACGTGTGTGGCAAGGAAAAGTATAGCTCCCTATATATTGCTTTTACGATATAAAATAGCATTGCAGTATTACAAATGACACCGATTTGAAGTTTCGCACGACTTAATACTGAATACGACCAATATGGTAGCCACTGAGGGATATCGGACGTTGTAAAGTTGGGTTTTAACGTGTAACAATGTTAGATGAAAGAGCTTCACACACATGTAAAACGGCAAAGTAGAGTAAACAAGTTATTTAATTACCCATGCGACCTCTCAACACCGTCCGATGGCCCGTATGAGCTGTACTGACATTGTAAACTTTCACTTACTCTCAGCATTGTTCCGGGTATAAAACTTAAATGTGTCACAGTTATGATCATTGTCATTTAATGCTTCTGCGCCTCAATACTGAAAAATGCTGCAATCATTCTGTAATTGTCATAATAAAAGAGAGTCTCGTTATTCAGTTACTAATATTCCTGTTGTTCTGGTATCAAGTGTTTTATTGGACATATTTCAAGGGTCTGGTTTGTCTAGCCTTCCCACACACTATCGTCTTACCTAAGATCGTAAGTGGCTGGATTATGCACGCTCCAATATATTTAAAGTCCGATATCAGACCTAGTTGTGGAATTCCCGGTCGAAAGGAAGTCTGCTACATCATATATCTATCATCCAATCATACTGAAAGCTCGAAACGGGATTGAATACTTCATAATTTATATTGATAATATGAAGTAATAGTCAACATAAAATCAGCAACGGGTACTCATACTTGCTATCAAAGAGTTGTCCTCTTCAAGTATGTATTGGTATCTTATAGGGCGGAAGATTGGGAGTCACTTGTTAAAATAACAGGTCTACCGTCTGTGTGTGTGTCTGTTGTTCAGTGTCAAATATCAGGAAATTACACTATCGATGTAGATTACCAGATCATTCATTTAAGCATTTACAAGGTCCTCGGATAACTTTCCGTGATAAACAGATCTGCCTGTGCGAACGAATTTTTCTTTCTCATTTACTCGTCTGAGAGTTGTATGAAGCCATGATTGAGTTTGTGGTGGTGAAATTACAAAGGCGATACAATGAGCACTTTGCCATTGTCTAAATAACAGTTATCCACGCGAACATGAGTCATATGTCTAAATACTAGCGAACTGATGGATATCATTTGTAACTCAGAATTATACATCCGGTCATTTTACTAAAGCATGGTTAGCTTGCAATATCTTATTCTTACTATCACACTGGTATGTTCCGGACTGTAAATTATGATAGATTTATTGTTATACTTGCTTAACAAAGTTATATAATTAAATCGAAGAACCCCACAGTATTTCTCTTCCAACGACTCTTTTTTAACACAGAGAAATTGGATAAACGGGAAATGCGTAAAGCTAGCGTGCTACTTATGTACCCACATTGAAATAACAAGTAGGGAGCAATTTCATTGGTTAATGGTTTGGCATAAAGCATGCAACATAATAACCCTTTATTATTTTATTGACACGATTCTCTGTTTTTCGCAGGGATGTAAACTATTATTGTAAGAAAAAAATCTTAGAAAATGATATGTGAACGTTGTAATTAGTACCGGATATCATCATAGTTATCTCAGTTTGGCTTTTAATTGATTTTAGAGTTTTACACTCGAGTACGATCCACTTACGGGAGTCTTTATATAAATCGTATATATATTTATAATTATAATTGACGAAATTGAAGAAATGCAAGTAATTTAAATCAGAAAATGGTAAATAAACAAAAGACAACTCTGCATGTTCACTGTATGAGCTTAGTTGTACACTGTTCTGTTACATGTTTTATGTACATGAGGCAGTGCTTGTTCAGTAAAAACGTTAGTAGAAAATATTTACTTTGTCAAGTCAGATATGTATAAAGATAAAGTAAAATAAAGTATACACTAGCATGTGTATGTTTGCAAGCGTGCAGTGCATGACATGTCACACTGTTCGGATGAATTATGTCTTTTATAGTGAGTTAAGATCATGGGTAGGTCACAATGGACACTGTGATATTGTCTCTGCTCCCTCTGTCAGAGTACATCTGTATGCAAGTCATCACGATGGCTGCCGTGATTATTCAATGATGCAATCAAGCTATACTAATGCTTTCAGAGCTGTACCCTTTGATAGTGTGATAACGTATAGACAGCAGTTATGGTGTGCGGTAGTGTAATATCACCTTAACCCCAATGGGGCTGGGGACGAGACAGACGAGAGCGACTTCAGATTGGACCTATTTCCCAGCCCAACGCACACAGTGTGTAGCCCTTCCACCATTATCGGCTTGTTGACAACAAAAGCAAATTAGACAATCTTATTTATGTGTTATGTATGTTACATTGCGATGTAACACGTATTCCATTGAATTCGTTTTAAAGTCTGTAGTCTGTGTGTTTGGGTCAAGATCCTTCCGTCAGACACGCTCCCCTAAGGATAAGAATGCCAATAGCAAAATTATATAGGTATATAAACCACAATTTAAATTCAAGTTTGAAATGAAAGAAGTAATGAATATATGTAAACAGAAAGACAATTCATTATCTCAATTCATTATAAGTCTTGTTTTATTTATGTTCTTGTAGACGATCACGCAAAGGTAGTCCCGGACCAGTCGAAGCTGATCATACTTAAACAGAGGTGTGTCCCGACCAGCAATCTTACATTCATGTATGCCCCCACTTGTCCACACGTTTACATATTCAACCGTAAAACATGTGTTAGTGATGGCGTTATTTGATATAACGTCTACTACTAATAAACCTCTGTCATTTACTTCAGTGCCCTGTTGACAGGCAGAAGTGGTTAAAGGCTTAAACTGATACGTGAGATATATATCTGAACTAAGCTGACCTTCTTATCCTTATGATGTTTTTGACTTCTGCTGATAGAAGGTCTCTCTGATAAGACACTCGTTATCTATACGATACACTCCAATGTGTAGCGCTTTAATTCCGTTATAATCAATGGGCAGAGGCCACGCTGGAGCGGCAACCTCAGCTTGAAGGATTCGGCAACTTTAAATGTGGTTCCGATTGTCTTGGAAAAAAATAATCCTGGATACTTTTAGTTGAAATGCTTTTTAATGCTTAAATAGAAAATATAGAAATTGAAAATTTGTAGTGTTTTCTTCCGAAAAAAATATATGCTGTCTCACCTTTGAAAGCCAGTTCGTCTAATGTAGATGTCACCAAATTAAACTATTATACATTACATACACATGTGTTCTTTCGCTCTATGTTAAAGTCGTTTTCATCTTAAACGGACGATAAGGAAACGAGTGGGGAAAATTCCTGTTCTACTTTAGGCGTCCACCATAATATCTGCAGTATCACCCTTTGTTCCGTATATCCTGTTGTGGTTGACAATAACTTTTTGACACTGAACCATAGTTGGTCATTTTGTATATTTTACACATTTCCACAATTTCAATATAAAACATATCACAACCAACAGCGAATGTATCGTTTAATTCAGTATTTTTATGTTTATGTTCTGTCTATGTTTGATCATGATTCAGCAGTATTTAACCACATGCTTTTGTTGATATTGATGTTTTCATTCTACGTATTTCTTATGTAGACAACTGTTATCATTAGTAAATACATTTCCGGACTCTTCCCACTTGCCTGAGGCCTGAATTTAATCTCTCGATGATTCATGGCTATAGAGATATCTCCCCTTCCTTGAAAATCCCTACCCGCCACTCCTGACAGCCGTTCTAGATCATTAAATATCATATTAATTATATTAGGTTTGTATTTCGTCTCCAAATATTTCAAAGGTATACGAAAATTAACTTTTGTTTGCGTATGAATAAAAATATATCTTCCTATACCGATCTATATACGACCCCTGGGAGTAATAAGCATTTTTTATTACAATAATACATTTATGTATGTGTTCCGTCCGCAACAGAACTGTAGCGACCGGTACGGTGGCTGGGCAGGGATACCAAGCAATAGCTCAATCGTTTGTTTATCCAATGTTTCCGCTTCAAATTGAAACTTTTAATAACGTTTGGTCACAAATTATTCATCGAGTTGTATCGTCCCCCAATCCAATTCACATCAGTCAAGCTGTCAAATCTAGGTAGCCCACGTTGGCAGTTATTCATACCTACTCAGGCGTATTGGCTTTGCCGGTTTACCTTAATATCTTATATGGTTGGTATTTTACGAAGCAAATCCTGTATACATTTATAGCATTTACGATTCGCTCTTACGTAGAGCAAGACATCATTTTCTTTTTTCTTTTACATTGTGCCGTTTGAATTGAATCCCTTTGGGTTTATTAGAAACGTTTTTCTACTTTTTATTTCCAGTGTGCATTGTGTGTCCTCTGCCGATGAGAAAGTTCTACCGCGAAGCCACGTACGCTTCAGTCCTCGACAGTCAGTCGCCGCGACTACACGGATGCTGAAGTCTTATAAAGTAACCAGTAAGCTTGCGTGGAATTAATAGAAGAAAGAAAAGGGGAATTATGTATATCCATGAATTTGGAAAGAGATAAATACCTGGCGTGCTATTATATCTGTGTTTTCATTCATCCTCCAACAGTGTCGTTTACTACTGAGAGAAGCGGAGTTTTATTAATAAGTCTATAGCTTAACCGTGTGTGGTTTCTCTGCATTCTACGGTGAGGCGGAGTGTTGAGAGCTAGCATCATTGGATCAATATATAACGGAATAATAGTTTCTTTGCCCAAGCTAAGGTGAGCCCGATGGAAAACGCTTTCATTTGGATTACACTGTCGACAATACTTAATACCTATTATTCAATAAACTGCTGTAGCTAAATGTGCTCATATGGAGAACGTTTCTTTCAAAGTTTTCAATGGTTTCTTAAATCGGAAACATGGAGTTACAGAGACTCTTCTATAGATATTATGTTTTGTTCTTCTGGATTATTCTCGACTGTTCCCTCTCAATAGGTAAGTGGCATTTTTTTTTATTATTATTTACCATACATTTTACCCTACATGCTACACGTGCTATTATGTAACATTGCTTTATTCCTTGTGATCAAGAGTTTTACTGAACACATCTGGTACTTCACAACTCTTGTAACTTTATAACTCTGACAAACAATCTTCTGTCACACACTGCACACAACTTCTAACGTGTTCACTTCGTTTGTTATTCTGGTACAAATTTTGTCCTGTTGTAATCAGCTTATTTGTTTCGTTTTCTGTAAAAAAGAAGGTACGTATTTTAATAATAAACGCTGTATTGAAAATAAAGCAGACTTTGATAAACAATTAAAATTGAAAATAAATAACGTAGCAGTTATTGAAATTTCGTTCGTTCATTACCTTTGTATGACGCTTTCCAATGGAGGCTCACAGGATCATACTAAGCTTCATCCACTTGAATAGTTCACTATTGATAATTTCAATTCTTAAAGCCGAAAATAAAGTAAAATATTGATCCAGTTAATCAAACAATGGACCGCAATTTCCATTTCAACTCGCATGATTCATATCGATACTTGTCCGTGTAAACGATTATGGAAGTTAGAATGATCAGATTTGAATATAATGAAAGGACTTAGTACAAAATCTCATCAACTTACTGTATACAAGTAATTTAAATAATTCTTAAGGCCTTCACCTCGAACATAATACTTTAAAATCTGTGGTAAGTAAATGTTTTTATTCATTGTATTGACATTTGTTTGCTCGCCCAAGTGGAAACAGTACAAATAGTACTATATCATGGTGTTCAGTCTAGCGTTAAATACATTCAACGTAAGAAAAAGAATTTATCAATGGATCGAACATGTATGAGTTATTTGTAGGAAATATACGTAATTAATGTACTTAGCATCAATAGACCGATCCTTTATGGACCTTTCATTTGCTGTGATGCCAGGCATGCAAAATATATATCACTGATAATCATATTTATTTGGGAAAAACGATTAATGGATATTTCTTTAATGTCTATCCAACAATTCGTTTGGCAACTATCACGAAAGTAACAAAGGGGATAGTTTTATACATAATATAAGGATAAAATTATTCTTTTCGTACACATATGTAAGCGTTTGTATAAAGATGTTGTAAAGATAACATATATTGACGTTATCTCTTTTCGACATGCATTATCATAATGCGCAATGATGTATAGGTAAAGTTGATCTTTATGGTATTAAATGCATATTTCAAAACCACAATAGCGTTTAAGCATATCAGCGTAAATGACACTCGCTACAATGTAACTCACATTGCATTATTTTCATTTTCATTTATAAATTGTTATAGTGATACAAGAAAAAATGTTTTTGAAACAATATTCATCAGCGCAATTCTATCGTGATGATTATTTTAAAGTTAATATTAAAAGGATCTTTTTGACGTGAACCCATTTCAAAGGTAGACATTCCAGTAGTAATGCATGAAATATTTCTTCTTAATGCAGGTTTAAGCAGAAAAAAAACGTCGTTAAAAAAAGGTAACTCAACAATGCATGATATTTAATTTTGCTGAAAAGTTTAGATTGTATAGAAATGTTCCATATAAACAATTGTAATCGTGAATCGCTTTGCCTAATTATTCCCTTTGCTTTATTGTACAAATCGCATCATCTCCCAAACATGCATGGCCTAACCTACACGACGCGAGCTTCATTCAGTAACATCATCCGGCTATATTGTCATATTCTAGAAGTGAATTTATCTTGTTTCCGTTGTTAAATTTACCATGCGAATGAGACGCCAGTTTTCTTAAACGTTTGATATGCTTCCATGTCACAAGAAACGGAAAGTGATTAATCACCGAAAAAGAACAGACACAAAAAAATCGTGTGAATTCAACTTGTGTTTTAAAGAGTTTATCAGCTGTAATCTTAGACGCAGCTTGTATTAGGTGGTTGTATGTATCAATAGTGCCGACTTATGCAGCCGTCCTGATGCGCCATGCTGTGGCTTCATTAGACAGCCGACGATGGAATCGATAGACTCCTCATCACGACTAAGAACCATATGATACGACACACCGTACACTGTATGCAATAACAGCACCACACTCACAAAAAACTGATGATAAAGTTTTAGTTTATAATCTGTCCAGTCGCTGCCATCAATTTTTAGATCCGTGTTAACTACAGTAGGAGTTATGTAATAACAGATGAGAAAAGGATCGTCGCTGCTTGTTTATGGCTGTGTTTACGGGGGAAGTTACAAGACATTGTTATATTAGCGAACTCTGAATATCTGTAACCAGACCCGATGCTCTGACGGATAATTGATACATTGAACGCGCAACGCGATATCAAAAATACTACTCTGTCATTGTCTCAGATAACCAATGGTAAAAGTGGTATACTCAAAGTACAAAATTCCACAAGAATTCTTATCACCATCAAACGCGTTCCATATTTGTCAGGCGGGTCACTTACACCGGTACATTATACGTTACTCTATTGCTTATTTCTAGGACCTCCTTACAAAAAACTACTTCTGAGGTGTCATTTTTGAAAAGATATTTTTTTAAGTTCGTCTGGAATGCTTTTATCTCACCCAACGCATTAGCCGTATATATGGCCGTGTTCCTATGTCACACTTTCCCGAATCGAAGCTCATATTGCGTTATGTTGGCTTCAAATTCAAAGATTTAGTGCACCTATGTTGTGAACTATCTTTCAACATCACGTTGTCTTACATTTGTTAGCAGTTGTTATATGAATTCAGATAATTCAATATATGTCCCTTTTCCTTTCGACATAATGATATTGTCAGATTTTGTTTTGTGAAATTATGAAATGCATGATAAATAACTTTTGACCAATGTCTTGCAAAGCTTAAAGGGAAAAGCTGCGTATACTGTTAATGTAATCGGTATATAAATATATATAAGACATGGTCATGAAAATTCGGTAGCAGGAATGAAAACATGGATGGGTAGCTTTATTCTGTAGCGGAGACTATACAAATAGTGTAATTGAAATATTACACACACATAAATGGTCACTTCCTTTTATTTGATAATCCCCATGTGAAAAAATATCTCACCTACGTGTGTGAAAGGAGTAACAAATGTAATGCGCTATAAACAGGTAAAATTCCAGCTAGGATTACGGCAACGTACCGTGTAGTTCATGTGACATACGAGGGGTTAACGACTAGAAATATGGAAGTTTACCATTATAATTCAGCATTGGTCTTAAATTTTGGTACATCCTTTTCGTAAGTTTCGTATGTACAGAAAACCGCCACTGCGTGCATTATAAAATTTGAAATAGCTATTTGGTTAACCAATGAAGTGCATGAAAACTCTGTATTTGATTACTTCAAGGAAGAAAAAATGACATGTTTTGAAAGAAATTGATAATTCATAAAACAAAAACAAAAAATTGCACTGTATTTTGGACTGTAACAAACAACATTCCTTTCAAAGTACATTTGTTATGATCATTTAGTATTGGAATATTTATAAGAATCGTATTTTTGTGTGTCTGGGAGTATAGAGACAATATGTTACATATAGTTAGATGATTATATATTCAAGTCTGAATGATGTTATCTGAAATTATTTGGTTTTATGAATATAGAATAGAATAATGCAAATACGTATCAATGAGATGGTAGCCTATGCTAATTATAACACAAAGCCGATCTACTGATATATGAATTAGGGTGTATTTTATGGCGGCATTACTATAGGATCAGAAAAAAACATAAAGCTATCGCACATACGTGTATTTAGAGCTTTTTTTTTTTTGCTATTTGAGATAAATGTTCTTATAAAAAAAGGAAAACATTGTTTGGCAGTTTGCTGCGGACATTTACAAACCAGCTTCTTACAGAACTGATGTATCTATTAAATGAAATATCTTTCTGAAAAAAGAGGCAACATATATTTTTCAATTTTCAATAATATAGTAAATAAACATTAAAATCAGAAAAGAAGAATGAAGGTATTCCCATTGGTCTAATTTTTGCTCGTGAGAAAACAAGTTATCTTTGAATACAATACCGCTTATACAACGCTTATCAGGGAAACCGCAACGCCACTGCCTACGGCATAACCTGTGGTTCAGATAGATGCATTTATATTCTTCGAAAACGAACATTATTCCTAGAAATACAACGCAAGGAAACACCTTCCAATAATCTAAAGGAAAGTAAAACAAGAAAGCTCAATAAAGAAAAAAATAAAGAAAACACCGTATGTCCATTTCATCTATTCAAGCGTAAGCAGTGGGTTAAAAGGTCTAAAGAAAACAATTACATGTACATGTCTAAAGAGTTCCAAACTTTTGAAGAAATACAGTGAAATGGCAACGGTGCCTTTAACACCTGCTTCAGGTTACACGTTTACAGTAGTGGCTACATACATATTTCTTGCAGTACTGTACTAGTATTTCCTATTTCATCTTAACCATGCCTGTATATCTTATATTATTGTATCAATATATATTTATCAAATTCATTTCAAAATGAAGTACATGTAACACCCACACAGTACTAATTAACGTATGACAATATTATATTTGTTATTAATGTCCATGAGTATATTGTCGTAGGAGTGTCGTTTTTTTTTACATATTACATAGATTGATGAGCAAAATTTTGCGCTTTGTGGTTTTTAAAATATAACCATCAGCTGGGTTGTAACTATCCAGTTAGCAAATTTTCGTACAGTAAAATTACATGCCAAATAATGAATTTTTACCTTGTATATTGATCAAATTATTAAGAATAAAAAATGATGTTATAGTCAATAAGTCATTCATCTCTATGAACAACTGGGCCCAGATTATTTACATGAACCGTACTGTAACTGGGTTATTCAACATTCTAAAACTAAGACAAATGTTATGATTAGGGAAACGTCTAAATCGATATCGTGTGACAAACACAGAAAATATACTAAACGTAAATAACATTGCAACATCTCCTCGTGAAGTACTTATCACCATTCATCACAATGTGTCCGATACCGCTGTCCACTTTTACCCTTGTTCATCAATCACAGCCACAAGTATCCGACAGCGTCACTTGATTTCCCTGACATATAATACAGAAAGAAAAACAAAAACATCCCAAAATGACATTTTTGATGGATATTATTTCTTTTTTATCGTGATGCTTTAAATGATTGATTCCCACAGCGAGACAACGATATTAGTTAGTTATGTTGAACTGCGATGAACAGTTGATGGGGCAATGATAACAATGCAGTTCATATACTTTTGAGAAGGAGTTGACCGAAACCATTAGTGAACGGAATACATTGTAGTTATCATTGCTCTCGTATCGACAGGTCCATCACGATTTGCAGCAGAAATAAAGTATGTTGCGGTGTCAGGGATTGTTCAAGCTGACTATTTTTCTCTCTTTCGTTTCTGTTTTTGTCTTTGCGTCTCGAATTTCAGATGCTACAAATGTAGTTTGTCTTTGTGTATTGACGCTTTGATATAACTTTGTTGTTTTTGTTTCTATTAAATTAACTTAAAGCTTTGAACTTTTTGTTTTAATAAAAAAATGTTTCTATGATAAGCTGCACACTGGTGGTGGTTCACATCTACCAAGGGTAATGCCGCAATTCTTCTAAATCAATGGACAATTTCTCTGTAGATGTGGGTATTGGATGTTTGCATACCCTCGTCGCAATAATCGATGTTCCCTAGGTATCGGGATTCACGTTTGAAATTGCTTATACCTTTTTACATGTCACCTTACATTACACAACGCTCATACATGTACTCATATAAAAAAATATGCTTCTCATTTAATCAGTCTACATTTCAACCAACTCTGATTGATTTTTCTGAATAAACAAATTCATATCATTAATTATCTTATCATAGCATTTGATATTTGCGTTGCGTTCATACAAATACATACAGCAGTTCCAAGCAGTGTATTACCTTTCAGAGTACACCTCTTGCCTGGCATGGAGATGTTAGTTATCTTGTCAAGATTGTGAATGATCATCTACGCCTGTCTTGTAGCAATTAAAGAGATCACTTTGTTACGTTCTTCCCAAGTGATATCTTACGTCGTACGAAATGCTGTAGTTACAGTATAAAACTTATAGGTTCAATATCAAGCAGTTGTGTAAACGATAGAAATCCATGTTTTTGTGTAATTTGTACCCCGACTCCATTTGTTTCTGTTGTTGTCTTCCATAAATCATGGGAGCTAATGGGTATACACCACGCAAGTTCAATTAAACATACATGTGTATGTATGTGTCTGCATGCATTCATTTGCTATGATATCTATTTCGGATCATTGATAACGATGAACCATACTAAATATCAATTTAGAGGTAAACATTTAAAAATGTTCAATAGTCAATTCGCGGAGCAGGCACACTTGCCATCAATGTCTTTATTTATACTTCTAGGTGTTTTAAATAAAACATACATTCAATATTAAGTGTTTAAATTTTGAGAAAGGCCTGAAATAAAACTTATAGCATAAGAACGTGTTCTATAATAACATT